GTGTGTGTGTGTGTGGCCAGCTCAGCCCACCAGGGGGCGGGGCTGGCTGGCATGTGGTGCTGGGGGATTGAACCGCGGTCCCTGTGCTTTATTAAGCTTGTTCTGAGTAGGTGCTTTAGACCACCTGAACCATCTCACCAGCCCCAACAGTTTAAGTTTTAAATTCGTTGTTCTAAGGTGACCAATTCTGGGGTAATTTGATATGTAGTAATAGATACAAACACAGCAAGCAAGAATTTTACAGTAGTGAATAGAAGTATGTTAAAAAGGCTATTTGAGGGGCCCCGGAGATGGTTCAGTAGAATAAGCACTGGCCTGGCAAGCGCAAGAGCCTGCGTTCAACTCCTGGTTCCGCCTAAATAAATAAAATAAAATAAATAAAAAGGGCTATTGGAAAAGATGGAGAGAATGTGAACTTGGGAGTTTGTTTATAGAATTTTTTTAAAACCTTATTTTATAGTTTCAACGAGAAAAGGGAATTCATTTCCCTATTTCCATAAGACTAGGGCAATTCTGTATTTTTCTCCCCCATGGTGTAGTCTACTTCAGCAAAACAGTACACTGTGTGCTCTTTTGGCCTCTTGGGAAGCATGGCATGTTCAAGTTTGCTAGAAAGAGATAATGATCGCTTTTAGCCACACATTTCAGGGAGAGTTCATCAGGATACAGGTCTAGAGAGAAAATGGCGGCGAGGGGTGGCAGCAAGGGGGACACAAATATCTCAGTAGCTAAGATCAGAAACGGGCAATAGGTGACCTAATTTAGAGTTAGTTGTAGCACTATCTTCCTACTGTGTATTTTTGACACCTACACTTTCCCAAAAGAGATTTCATAATTTTACAAAACAGTCCTATTGTATTTTTATTCTTAGGTTAAAAAAAATACAAAAATCATTAGCTAAATTCTATAGCTGAGTTGCTTTAAAAAGAACAATAAAAATCCCTGCCCTCTGAATGTTTTATTTTGACGCAATCAGAAACAGAACAGCGTTTTTAGATCCTGCATTTATTCATGAAGTGAAGCTATGCCGTTTAAAAAAAATTTTTCCCACCTCTGGGAAATTTTTCTGAAACGTGTGATTGCTGTGCAATTAGCCAAGTGGAACTGTGACGCAATAACGTACTGCAAATTGCTTTACAAAAAATGATGTCATTGGCGCACATCTAATTACTTTTATGAGAGGGAGCTATGGTCAAGCTCTTTTCTTGTCCCAGTTTTCCCGTTGCATCGTATGCAAGATGCAAAACGACATTTCCCGGGGCTCCTGTCCCTCTACCTGTCCACGGTGGGCGCCCCGAAGTAGCTCGGGGCCCGCCGCTCGCCAGGCGGACAGGGGCTGCTGAAAGTGGACGTGCTCTGCTGAGCGTCTCCAGCCCCGACGGCAGCGCTGCGGGGGAAGCCGCTGGGGGCAGGGGCCGCAGGGCTGAGCTGCCGCCCTTCCTCCGCCGGGCCGGGCTGCGAGGGCTGGACAGCCGTGGGGACGCGAGGTGCCGTGGGCTCCGGACGGCCCTCCCCCACCCGGTTCCCACACTCGGTCCCGCTCCCGTGGCGCCGGAAGTGACGCGCGCCGGGCTGAAAGATGGCGGCATTGGCGCCCGACCAGGGGGAAGGTAAACACCCGCCAGGCCCCGCGCTGGCCCCCTCGGGGCGCCGGTAGGGGCCGGGGCCCTCCCCAGCTCCGGGCCTGGTCGCCACCCCGCGGCTCCCTACCCTACGCCCCCTCCTGGCGCGGCGGGCTCCCTTCTGCAGCCCGCAGCGCACGGAGCCCCCTACCGGCCAG